AAAAAAGTATGGTAGAACAATATTCAAAGTGAGGCTTGATAATCGCATTTTTTCAATCGTAAGAGACGTGTTTACGTTTTTTAATATATATTATTAAAAGAAAAAATTAAATAAAACCGATGCGGTAAAAATAAATCCAATCCAGGACCCGCTGCGCTAATCGGTGGAGCATTCGAGTCTTCAAATGATGAGTTCTCCTTATCCTTTCTTAGTTTAACATTCTATTGAAAATGTATTAAATTTTTTTCAGAAAAGTTCATAAATGAGANTTCTTAGTTTAACATTCTATTGAAAATGTATTAAATTTTTTTCAGAAAAGCTCATAAATGAGAATGGCGGTGATGATAACCAATCAACGAAATCAATCAACAAATTTTTTCTTCTCTATCCACATAGCGCAAAAAAAGGTTTTTTGCTAATTTTTTGGAACAAATGCAGTTGGGCTCCAAATCTCTAATTAAAAAAAAAAAATATTGGAATCGATAGAGATAATTGAGCTGAGTATAACAGTATACTTCTTTTTTTGGGCAAACAACAACAACAAAAATTATCAAAGGTTAAAGTTAAAAATAAGCAATTTTTGAAATCAAAATTTCCCAAAAACGAATGAATGGATTTTGAAAATTTTGATCTCATTTAATAGCAAATTTGATTCCCTTTAATTTGCTATACGTACTTTATATATATGTTGTATAGTTCTTACAAAAATTGAATTAATGTAAAGTAATGGAAAGGAGAAAGGTGTTCTCTGCAAAAGGTGTTTTTTTATAATTATTTTACATTTAAAATCCATTCATCCGTTTTTAAGAAATCTTGATTTAAAAAATTGCTTATTTTGAACTTTAACCTTTGATAATTTTTGTTGTTGTTATTTGCCCAAAAAAAGAAGTATACTGTTATACTCAGCACAATCATCTCTATCGATTCCAATATATTTTTTTTTTTTGAGAATTGGAGCCCAACTGCATTTGTTCCAAAAAATTAGCAAAAAAACTTTTTTTGCGCTATGTGGATAGAGAAGAAAAAATTTGTTGATTGATTTCGTTGATTGGTTATCGATTATTGTTCTCTTCGTTCTCTGTAATACCGTTCTGACCGACAACGAAAACACTTTGAAAACGTGTTTTGGGATTGTGGGCTGAAGGCTGTTCACACCGGCTGTTAGTGTTTTCGTTGACATTTCTTACATCCTCTGATTACAGTTTCGCTACACAAAAACAAAACCAAAATGCTTTTCCCCCATTTTCTTTTCATTACCAACCTCTTACTTTCATTCTTATTTTACTTTTGCCAGCCAATTAACAATAAATCCTTTAAGATGATAAAATATGACTTCCACTTCGATAAGTAATCGAAAAAACGAATGAAGATACCGATTGGAATGAGTGGAACGTGAGTTTTCATGTAGTTTTCAGCGAAAACTGGTTTTCGTTTGACAGATTTTACATGGACGAAAACACAAGTTTTAAGTCGAAACCAGTTTTAGCAACGAAAACATGTTTTCGATGTCGGTCAGAACATGGTATAAGGGTTGAAGCCATTCACGATAAATTTCTGTAGATTATCAACACTGGACCAGTTCGGTTGGCATTCGTCGATCCGCCATTTTTATTAGCATTTCTCTACCTGTCGGCGTTGCGCTTGGAAAAAGTTTCCGATAACTTTTCCTGTACAAAAAAAAATATTAATTGTAGACAGAAAAATATACATAATTTTGTGAGAACCTTTTAATAAGCAGACTGCATAATAACTCGAATTCTGATATATTGGTAAGTGGCTTGTGGCTTTTATTATATCCGCCATTACATATTTGCTAAAATCGATACCGGAACTACATACTTTACTCGCTAAAATAACTAATACCTTCTGCCACCAAATTTAGTACGATATGAAGAGTGAAGGCAATGAGAATTCTAACGACAGCCGGGAGAAGGAACGGGATCGACGAGGTCGTGGAGCACGTGCGTCAAGATTCTCGGACGCTGAAGCCGGTGGTGCTGGCAGCGGTGGCGCCGGTGGAAGTACCAACTCTGGTGGCAATGCTAACCGTGATCGTAGCCGTGAAGGTCGCAATTGCCGCGTTTACATATCAAACATCCCCTACGATTATCGTTGGCAAGATCTGAAAGATTTATTCCGTCGGATTGTGGGGTCAGTTGAATATGTAGAATTATTCCATGATGAAAATGGAAAAGCTCGCGGATGTGGAATCGTCGAATTCAAAGATCCCGATAATGTCGAAAAAGCTTTGGAAAAGATGAACCGCTATGAGATAAATGGCCGAGAATTGGTAGTGAAAGAGGATCATGGTGAGCAGCGGGATCAGTATGGTCGCATTGTACGCGATGGCGGTGGGTCATCACGAGGAGGTGGTGGTGGTGGTGGCGGTGGTGGCGGTGGAGACATGGGTGACCGCGACAGAGGCTTCTCTCGCCGCGATGATGACAGGTACTACAATTTAAGCTTGAAAAATATTATCAATTCTAATATGGGTTTATTGATTTTTTCTTGGGAAGGTTTGCATATACGTTTTTTTGTTTCAGGAAAATTGTGTTGAAAAATAATTGGCCCTATCACAAATTTCACATGAACAAATATTGCTAAAATTTATGAAGCAAAACAAAAACAATATTTCCTAATTTGTTCTTGTTTTTCCTGTTACATTATGGGAACTTTTTATTCACATCGAATTGGTGATAGGGCTGAATATCTATCTCACAGATGTTTCGTTGTTATAGGGTAAATTTGACAATATTTTGTTAAGTTTAGTCAGGCGCTTTACAGGTCATTGACTACATCTGGAAGAAATGCGTTAAACAAAGGCAGCAAGGTATTACGAGGTAGTGAAAGAACAATAGGCTTCACATATCGCAATATTTAAACAAATATTTGAGTATATTGGTCAGGTGATGAAGTTAGAAGCGGCATCATTCCTGCATAAATATTTAATAGACATTTCATGGTAAATTTTGTGCCAGAAGTTCTATTGGGGAAATAAGTTTCATTTATTATTCGGTTTGGAAATATCGGCCAGGTTCCCTAATTCACTTCCGAGTTAATTTCCCAGTCGCTTTGTATTCAAATTTAATGGGGTTGAAATTCACTCGAGTGTGAATCGCACATCCTGCCTGTATATCGACGGTTTGGTGGAAGATTGAGCCATCTCTGCAGCCTACTCGTAAAAGTCCTATCTCAGCTGCCGTTATATTTTGAGTTAAAATGTTGTTTTTAACCATACCCTGAGTTAGGGTTTTTTAATCGAATTCTGAAATACGGCATCCTCCAATCAAATTTTGAAGTAATGCTCGATTTCCACCAGACATTAAATGACAAAAATTACAAA